AGTTAATATTCCAGTAAAACTGCTGTTACTATCTGCAGAGGTATTGAGTAAATTCTCAAACTCTATAAGTACCACTCAAATGTCTTTCATTTGCACGGACCATAGAATTACATAAATTCTCACTATAAACCATTTTTGTTAAGATCACCATTTTTTGTACATTAAAAATTGTAGGTACTCACTCACATTGGGTCGGGGACTGGGTGTATTAAAAAAGCCTTTAAAAGGCCATTTTTATTGAAGAAAAAAATTGTAGAGGAATTTGCATTTCAAGATTCTAACTATATTATAATTATACACCTAATATAACAATATTTATAATTTTACTAAAATCAACCTAAAATACTGCCAATATACCTAAAAGACGGTTTAAGTTAAGAGAGCTAATTAAGGAGAAGTTACTGATTTCTCTCAGGAATAATATCTCTCCTCCTCTCATCGATCCCTCTCTCTCTATCATTACTCTATCTCTTATTGCTATCATTACTCTCTCTCTCTCTCTCTCTCTCTCTCTCTCTCTCTCTCTCTTTCTCTCTCTGCAAAACCTCTCAACGCAAAGAAATCGTCTTCAATGGCGAAGACCAAACTACCAATTCAGTATATGTTATGCATCAAAGAATCATCGGCCAAGATATTGTGGTGGCCGCGGACGGCGTCGGGAGGGAGGAGGCGGATGTGTGGAGGGTGCTGACGCCCGAGACGGCGAATGAAGACCGAGATTCTTACAATTCGAGGTTGAAAAAGATGATTTCTGGGCTGACCCTGCCGATGGAGGACTTGTTGGATTGGGAGGTGGAGGAGAGGAGGGAGAATTCCGATCTTAGCGGAGAGATTGGATTTGGAGTGGAGGTGCTTGGCGTCTTAGAAGATGAGAGCGGGGAAGAAGAATTCTCAATTTATTTTTATGAACAAATACCAAAATATACTGCACATATACCTTCTATGTGACGTGAATTATATTCCAAAATCGTGAGTTATTAGTAAAATATACATATTGAACATAAACCAAACAATATATTGTTGAACATAAACCCCAAATAAACTGAACATAAAGATAAAATATACTGAACATGAACTAAAAATATACTTGTACTGTACATATAAAACTAAACTGCTGAACATAAACCAAAAATATTAAAACTACGCAATTTATTTCTATGAACAAAAAAATATACTGCACATAAACTCCTCAAACGTCTTTCACGTGAATCGATTTGTACAGGAGATCCGATCGTCTTTCACTATGAACAAGTACCAAAAATATACTGCACATATACTCCCCGAACGTCTTTCACTTTTTTTTTTTTCAAATTCAAATTTGATTATTTCCTTCTTCAATCCGAAAATCGTGGGCTAAAAACATGGAATATGGTTGACAAATAGCAGTAACCGATTTTAGGCATGAATGCAAATAAATCTTATCTATTAGGTATATTCTCAATTAAAGTGTTATTAATGGTAATGTTGCAATTTATTTCAAATCGTATAGCATGGTTAAAAATTTCCCAACATTGTATTAATAAGTGGTGGTTGTTATCAAAAGCAATTTTTGAACTTGGATGAAATTGCACATGTACATTGTATTAATAAGTGGTGGTGTTATCAAAAGCAATTTTTGACTTACCATTTGTACATTGCTTGAGTTTTTAATGGTATTCAAGTTAACTCTGGAAAATATATATATATAAATATATATAATACATGGATCTGGTCTGGTGCACTTCAATTAATTGGTCTCTGGGTCAAGGCTGGGCCTGGTTGGACGTGGCCTTGGTTCGGCATGATACTGGCTAACCATTGGTCATGGGCCTTGAATCGACATGTGGATTTATCGTGGTTCAGGTCATATTTTTTTTAGAAAAAAGTGAACTGTCGGTTTCAATTTGGAACCAGAACCGACAGTTTGGCTTAAACTTCTAATTTTTTTTGTTTAGTTTTTTTTTTTTT